AAGTGTGACAAACATGCAAAAAAATAAGAAATCAGGAAGGGGGCCAACACTTTTTCACACCACTGTATATATGAAAGTATTTATGTTTGTAAGTAACAATATTGTTTATATTGTTATATTTATTTATAAATATATACATACACACACAATGTGAAAGATTAATATAATGTATATATTATTTATTTAATATATTATAGAATTAATTAGAATATTTATAGAATAAATAATAATGTTTTATGACAGTATTTTTCAAGTAACATTAATGTTATATTTAGTATATATATTAATTATATTATTTTATATTATATATAAATAAATATGAAAATATTTAGACTTTTAAGTCTATGTGTGTGTGTGTGGTTACTTAAATATTTTTAGTAATAAACTAGTATATACAAGTGTTCTTCTCCTGAATGATAAACAGTTAAGTATTGATTGATTATGTCATGAAATCAATCTTGAAATAATAAAAACAACTTTTTTTTAAATGATAAAAAATAGGGATTTTTGCATATTAATTATGATTTTAATTGTTCTGTTTACAAACACTATAGATTTCAAAAAAATGTTTAGCTGCATTTATAATAGTAATCAAATTACAGTCTTTAAATGCTGAACATTCCAAACAAAAAATCAGAGCGGAACTGTTTGAATAATGCATTTATTGCTGAGGTAACCGATTATAAATAAGGGATTAACATCCTCAGATGCTGTTTGTTTCTCTCGGCTCTCTCTGTCGGACGCTTGTCGAATCTAAAAGAAAAGCATGAGTCAGTATTTTAATCGCAGGATCTTTGAGGGAAGAGATGAAGTGATTTGCCGGATACTGACTGTCTTTCAGACAAAAATTCCCGATTATTCCCAGAAGCCGGAGGCTGCCGGGACATGCAGGCGTGTTGATGGGATCTCTGCGTGCTTCGGTCCGTCTCAGACGTGCGCTGACAAGTTTGTAAACAAGAAGGCCGGAATATGAATGAGAAACAGTTTCCCTGCAGAGCACAGAGGCTGTCATTCCTGTGATGATTATCCTATTGAGACATAATCAGCCTATTAGTCCATATATCAGTGTTGAGCTGTAATCTGTCTAAACAGGCCTGATCAGCAATATAAACCCATCGCCAACTCATCCAGCATGCTTGGGTCATAAATGAATACTGTCGTTATGGGACAATCATCAGGCTTAATAACTCACAGGTTAAAAATCTAATTAAGTTAATGGACCATAAAACTACAGCAATACTACAAACTTGAGAAAGAATTCAGATCTATTTTTGGTAACATTGTCATTAACAAATATGCTGAACGGATCAAAGTTTATGAAGATTAAAATAAAAAAAAATATATATATATAAACAAATCATGACAGTCAGACCATTATTATTATTATTTTATCTAGTTATATAATTTCATAATATTATATATTTATACATAATGATTATATGATATAGTAGGGTCATTTCAGGTAAATTGAGATTTTAAATATTCTTTACTATTTTAAAAATATTAAATCATACATTTATTATATACATTTTATTTAAAATTCTTATGATCTGTATATAATATAGTTTTACATATAGGTATCGTGAGTCCAAGTAAAATTATATAAATGAAAATTATATATATATATATACACTTTAATAATAAAAATATACTTTAATGTTTATACATAATACAATATATACATTCATACTCATCATTTAATATAAACATATACATTTTTTAGATGTTTCAATTTATTCATTTTTATTATAAATTTATATTTTACATATATACTTTCATATATAAAAATATATACATACACTTTCAAAAATTTCATTTATGTATGAAATATATGTATGTTATGCATGTAATATAGTTTTTTGAGTAGTTTGTATTACTAGTATGTTTTAGGATAGAATAATGTACACACTTGCATAGACTAGTTAGAAGCTGGTTTGAGTTAAGTAGCTGCTGAGCTGCTGGTTGCATGTGGAGTTTGTTTGAGCTCCGCCTCTAAACCTTTAACCCCCACAGAAACTATCTGAACTATTTCAACACACACACACACACACACAGAGAGAGAGAGAGAGAGAGAGAATGTGTGTGATTTGATTTCAGTGGATCATGGAGCAGCGCTCTGACCGCGGTGTGTCGGAGTGTCGTGCCCGCACGGATGCGCTTCTAACACGGTTACTTTTGCTCCGGAGCCCCGCTGAACAGAACTAAAGCTGGAGGATCGGATCGGTACCGATGGCTGATCCTCTGCGGAGGACAATTCTAGCCAAACTCAGGGGCAAGAAACCCAAAGGGAAAGACGCGAGCACCGCGAAACGGCCAAGAGAAGGTAAAGAAAAAGCTTCTCAAACGCAGACAGAGAGAGATTACATTTCACATGCGATGAGGGGTGAGGAGAGGTGTGTGGCCCCTCTCGGCTGCAGCGCGGCTCCCCGGTACGCTGTGCGTGTCACCGGGTTCTCAGGGCCCGGGGGTCCCGCTGATCAAAGCGAACGCACCGAGCGGAGGCGTCTCCAAACGCCGCGGGTCCGCGGAGACTCGATCGGCTTCAGCGGCTGCGATTTAAAACCCCGACGAGAGGCTTTAAAGCTAACAGATGGCCAAGATATAAAGAATAAAGGACCAAATGTTACACTACTCGAGCAAAAGGCCGGGGAAAACATTACGAGCGACTTTGAACGTCACGCCAGGGGCCCCCAGCCTCATGTGTTTGATTATATAGACGCTGAAAGCGATTTAATTCAGGTTATAGAGAGTTCGCTGGAATATCATGGAGATTTTAGGATGCCCGCATTACAAAGTCCGACTTTTTTCCCCACTGATCTGAAAATAACAGTGGCCCCTGGGCTGAGAGACGGGGCCCCTCGACACCACTCAGTCGACAGCGAGGACGACGATTATTATGATAACCAAACTCTGCCCTTTTATGAGTCTCACACTCACTTGAAAGAGCGAAATACGAATATCGGTGAGCCGATATCGGCGTCAGAATCTAACGAAACCGACAGATTGAAGTCCCAACTGAAAGAGGCGTATTATTTGCTAATAAACACAATGCACAACATCAGTTTCGACGGTCAGGTCGAAGATAACGGATTTGTGGATCAGGCCAGTAGCGCTAGTCGATCCCACGACAGCGTTAGCACAGAAAGCGACGCGTGTTCGTCCGAAGAACGTAACGATTCTGCGTTTCTCGGACGATGTGGGGTGGGTCTGACGGGGTCTTCGAAGAGCAGAAGCTTGCAGAATATTCGCGACGCGAGTCCCAAAATGACGCTCCAGCGGTCGGTGAGCGACAGCAAGGTGAAGTACTCGTCAAACCGCGAGGAAGAGTTGCGAGCCGCCGTCGCATCGGGTCTCGATGTGCAACAGGCGAACCCTACGGAAGCCCTCCCGACGCTTGCTTCATCGCGCAGATCCTGCGACGACGCAGCGGTGCCCAAACATCCCGGAGTCACCGTCAACAAGATGCAAGAGTGGATGCAGAAAGGTCGCGTGCTTTCGTCCGAGATGAAGCAGAGGATCGCGGGTTCCTCGCTGAGAGCCAATCACGTGAGGCAGCAGACAGGTATGGACGCTCGCTGGCTTGGAGGACCTCAAAACCATCTCATTCATCTCACAATCTCTGGTGGAAAGCGCTGAGAGAGCTTCTCGGTGTCTTTTAACCGGTGCCGGGGTTTTTCCTCCTCTTCCTTCATGACTAATGCCGTTTCACGTAACATGGTTGGCAGGAGCGTGCCGGCGGGCCTGAGGCTGGATTGATTCCTCTCCACTAACACACTCACTCTCTGAATAATTCATTTCACGCTTGTCTTCTTGGTGATGGTGGTGGTTTTGTGCTGAGGTTAAATGTGAATGTTTATTGAACATGCGAGATGCTCGAACCCTTCTTCTGCTGGTAAGATGTGTTATGGGTTATCAGTGTATTTTATAGGTCAATCTGCAGCTCTGTCAAGTGTGTATCCAAGAAAACAACTGGTCGACGGCTATCTTCTATCATGAAACCAACAGGAATCATTGTGATTTTGCTTGCGTCCATTACTAATCTATTCAGAACTTTGAATTCCAGTGTAAACCACAAATCTGAACGTATCAGGCTACATTTTGGCACAGATATGCATGAAAGTTTGTTGTATTTTGTTTGTGCAGAGCAGTAACTTTGACTTCTTTTAGGTGTCTTGCATGTAAACCAATGATTTTGATAGACGCAGGCTTGTTTGTTTTCTGCACGCAGGCTTCAAATGCACGTTTATAGTCATGTTTAAATGCAGTCCTACAAGAAAACTACATGATAACACTGAAGACCTAAACAGGCTTTGTAAATTGGTTTCCAGGCCAGATTTAAGGATAAGTTATTAACACAAGCAGAGCTCATCTTGTGTGTTGAATGTGGCCTTTGGGCAGCTTATGTAGAAATAAGAGTTGCTCTTTACTGCCATGTGAGCAGAATTAGAGGAAGTGGACGTGGTCTTCATGGAGATTTACAATGCAATTGCATTTATGCATTTGGCAGATGCTTTTATCCAAAGTGACTTAAAGGAATAGTTCACCCAAAAAGCAAAATTTAATCCAAACATGTGGATGAGTTTGTTTCTTCATCAGATTTGTAGAAATGTAGCATTGCATCAGTGTCTCTGCAGTGAATGGGTGCCGTCAGAACGAGAGCCCAAACAGCTGATAAAAACATCACAATAATCCACAAGTAATCCACAGCACTCCAGTCCATCAGTTAACATCTGGAGAAGACAAAAGCTGAAACAAATCCAGCATTAAGACGTTTTTAACTAAAATACGAGTCCATAATCCATAATAACGCTTCCTCCAGTGAAAAAGTGCATCTGCTGTTGTCTCTCACATCAATCCCCAGCCACATATTTGTTTAGAGCTGTTTAAACGCTGCTAGATCTGTGCAGATTTCTCTCCTGATTCAGACCAGAGCACTTTTTCACTGGAGGAAGCGTTATTATGGATTATGGACTCAATGTATTTTAGTTAAAAA